GCATGCCTTCTGTTCTGTTTGTGAAAGATTTTGGGAACAAGTGCGAACACGGGGAGAAACTGCTCGAGTTGTGTTCTAATCTGACTCTTGTGACGGTTGAGGGTCAAGTCAGATTCCACGCACCTGGGTAGAGCCTGGCGTACAAATCTCACATGGTTTCCTTATAACATTATAGATGGTTGTTTCAACCTACATACCACAAAGACCTCTTTCTTTTTTGAGCACACAGGTCCGAAAAGGTGTCAAGAGATTTCATCAAGATCGTTTACCGATGGTTAATGTGAAGCTATAAGTCTGAAACTGGCCACTAAACAGGAGGCACGGACGAGAGCAAACAGCGTGGCCACATTTTACGGCTTCCACATGGCATATTTCTGTCTACAGACGTGACTTCAACAAGCTACTTCACACTGAGAAACAATGAAATGAGCTTGAAGATACTTTAGGGTTCTTTATGTTTTCACTCAGGTCAAGCAATGAAAGGAACGTGAAGCATAGAATATAGACCCCAGTAGACCTATGACCTATAATGTGATAAACCGTACAATGTGTTTAAGATGAATATGTTTCTGACAGAGAGAGTGAAAGTGAGACAGAGAGAGAGAGGGAAATGCAACGAACAACTGCAAAATTCAAACATAGCTTATTACTTCCATATTCACATGGATATGGTTCCAGATATAACTTATTGTTGCATTGTAAACATTACTACATGTACTTCTGGCGCAACATCTTTAATTGTCAAACTATGTATTGTAAAATGAGCTTTTGGTCTAATTTACTGAAGTAAAACTACTACTACTACTACTACTACTACTACTACTACTACTACTACTACTAAAATATTGTAAAAAGTAAAACGTGATTAAAATATGTGTGTGAGAGAGAAACGCCACGCACAGCTGCAAAATTCAAACCCTCACAAATCATTATCTGTACTTAATTTTTGTTATCTCCTTTGTATATGCGTCACAAATAGTGATATTTGTTATAAAAGATAAGTGCAATGTCCATTAGGTAAGACTCGTATAAACGGGTAATAAACACGCTGACAACGCTGAAAAACCTACCGCACCGTCTCAGCTGATAAAATATGTGCTATCGTCAATTCAACATCTTAAGTAAACGTCATTAAGGGTTGTTCTATTACGCAATAGAGCCCTGCATGTGTGTTTTTATTCGGTGTCATGTTCTTCACCATTCCCCCGTGTCGACAACTCCCCCTGACATCAGACATTTGACCTGTGACCTTAAACCACCGCTTACTGTTCATTACAGTATGTCCTTACGTTTGCCGTATCTATATCGAAGCCGAGGAACAATCCAGATGGTTCACTGCAACAGACAAAAGTAACAACCATCTCTCGATACGTTGATATTAAATGAAGTTGGTTGTAGTTCCCAATTCAATTGGTGATCTCTTTAAGAATTTGCTCTGCCGGGGATTAAGACTCTATCCAACACGTTTTAACCCTTGACTGTTACAAAAAGATAACAGGTCCATGTTAAAACAGCCTCTCAACCTCCAGATTAACGCCAAATTCTCTCAAAGGAGGCCACATCCAGGGGAATTTCAGGTCAAGATGGATGTTTGGCTGAGAAGTGGGGTTACATTTTCGGGAAGGTTCTCCTCCAGACTCGTATCCCCTGGGGTTTAAATTGGGGGTTCTTTGTGGGGACAGGGCAACGCGTCAAAGAGGCTCGCGTTCTGCTCCTGTTTGCTCTACATTCCACTTGTTAATGCCTTGAAATTCAAAACCTTGTACTTTTTAGCGGTTTGGGGTATCCTGCTTTGAAGTCAACCCAGTGCGAGTGGGACATACGGACAATAATGATCCTGTAATTTAACCATTGTCTGCCAGACGGCCACAGCTGGTTTCAAACCAAGACACAAAAGGGTGATGATCATGTCGTGCTTTATGTGCATTATACCAGTTTATGTCCATCCATGACAATACTTCGATAAGGACCGTCATGGTACTGATAATTCTTATCACTTGAATATGGCTTTGGTCAAATGGGGTTAACCGATCTGTTGCTGGAGTTATTTTTTCTTGCACAATTAAGCAGGAATAATGATAATGACGATGATGCCAGCAGGAATTGAACGCTGGAAAACCTTGATGTTTCCGCGGAAATTATTGTTCCACATTCAATTATATTGGACCCACCTCCCTATTGTAACCGGTTCAATAGAAATGGCAGTACTGGATTCGTGTTAACATACTAGAGTGAATGAGGGACGAATAGACTTTCATGTATGAATTTCGAACTTTCATGTATGTAGTACGGACTTTCATATATGACTTACGTGCTTTCATTTATGAATTACGGACTTTCATGTATGAATTACGGACTTTCATCTGTGAATTACGGGCTTTCATTTATGAATTACGGACTTTCATCTTTGAATTACGGGCTTTCATTTATGAATTCCGCACTTTCATCTATGAATGTCGAACTTTCATTTATGAATTACGGACTTTCATTTATGAGTTACGGACTTTCATCTGTGAATTTCGAACTTTCAATTATGAATTACGAAACATAATAAATAATAGTCGGGAAAGAGAAAGTATATACCATTATTTAAGGGTACTTTAGAATGAAACAACATGAAATGTTTATCCCATTCCTATTTACGTTTTTGGGTCTAAATTGGCAGTGTTTCGACAACTGTTTTAAGCTTTGTAGAGCTTGATAACCTTTGTAAGTGTTTGGTCAAGCCTATTTTCGAGTGTACATGTTCTCTTGCCCATGAGTTCAAACAGTATATACTCAAGAAGGAAGTATTCTTGGCCTAAAATTTGAAGTGTTTCAATGACTGCTTTCAGCCACTTTCATTCTAAAAGTTTGTAATGTTTTGGTTAAGTCCAGTTTCCGAGTACATATTTTCTTAAACCTGTTTTGCAATACTAAACGATAAATATAAAGCAGTGATATTTGATCATGTCTGTGCCGGGCCTCACCAGACATAAAAAACCTTTGGTGGTCCGAATCCCGAGATAGTGTGGTAACATAAGCACCTGTAAGTGTCTCAGCACAACCGGCAACCAGCCACCACAGAGCTTAAAGCACGGTTGCATCTAATTGGGCACCCTCAAGCCCAGAAGGTCCATCTTTAGGATGCGATTTACTTGCGGTAATTGGCTATATGATAGTCAGAAGGTGACTACTCGCATCGCCCAATCCCTGCAGCTCTTGTGCTCGGTCATGATATCGTTATAATGGCATAGGTTAAGCGGTAGTTAATGAATGCTCATTGGACAATATGGACCCAGTAGATGTAACGTGACGTTAATGGGAACACACGCTATGTAATGTTGGTACGCATAGCACTTGAATCTGCTATTTCGAGTAGAACGACAAGGCGTTATCATATATAATATTTCTGGAGAAGAAATGCTTGATATTTAAAGGCCAGATGTTCGTTAATACATTTACAAAACTTGTAAATTGTGAAGTGTATTGGAAGTATGTGCTGGTTGTGTATGTTTTACTTGTATTTGGAAGGGTATAAATTCCCAACACATTTAGACAGCTACCTTAATCTTCATCCAGCTTCCAGTCAAAACATTTACAAAACTTGGTACATTTGTCAGAGTCTTACTGATAACTGTTAGATGTAATTGTGATCTGTTTGGGAAGTACTGGCTGTTTCTAAATGTTCGATTTTTAATCGGAGTTGTATAAAATCCCAACTCCATTGAGTATGCAATCAAATGTTCGCTAATACATTTACAAAACTTGGTACGCTTGTCAGTCTTCGTGGTAATGGTTCAATGTAATTCTGATATGTTCTTGGAGTACTGGCTCTATGTATGTGTTCGATTTTTATTTGGAATTCCCAACACGTTTACAAATAATGGTAGAGAGAGCCACCGTAATCTCCTCCTAGCATCGTCAATGCGGAAGACGTGTCTGAGAAAGGTTTATAAGTCTTTCGGTAACAGGAATAAACACCATCAAGTATTGTTTTATAACCGTTTCCTAGGGTATACAAATGTCGTTAATTTAATTGAAAATGGATTTCAGATGAAGCAAAAACTGACCTATTTTCCAAATATTTATATCCGTCGTCAATTTTCATTCCTGGCCACTGATGTTTTGCTGGCCTTGCGCTCTGTTGAACACGTGGATGCCAATGCAGCGTGTTCAGCAAACTGCTTTTGTGTATTTTAATCCTCTTACACAATTTATGGTGTGTGTGGATATGATATTCCACGTATAATAAACCTTGACGAAGCATTACGCCATCTTTCAAACACATAATTGTTTACTCCAAGCTATAATAAAGCCATTCTTTGAAGTAATCAAAGGTTCCAATGTGCACGTTCTTGAGCTAATGACTTTGTGTTGTCTTTATTTATTGGGCGTGATGACTTCTTATTGCACGTCGCCTTCATTAGCTTTCACAGTTGCCATGGAAACCAGTGCTTCTTATTTTAGGGAAAACCGCCTCTATCGGGCAATGTTCTTGAAGTTCATCCGGGATGAGTTTTTTGGACGCCATAACTGTTATTTAGGTAAACATTCTGGAAAAATGTTTTTGATAGTTTAGTGTTTTTTCGTATTCCTATTTGGCTGCAAATATTTGCAAAGAATGGAAGCAGACACATTCTGAGATTTTATTGCATATTTATTGAGTAATGATTTGAAGAGAAATGCACCTGAGTTCCTTCATTGGTACGTGTGCGCCTGTGTTAGGCCTGCAGCAATCCCGATATTCTGTACAGACCCTTCATGAAGGCTTTGGCAGTAGGTGATCTGTTATCGATAGTGATCAGACAGTGAGTGAGTTGGGTTTGATCCTTCTTTGATCATTTCGTCTTGTATTATAGCTCGGCGTGTTAGTCCAAAGTGAGGCACCCCTTTGGTAAAATAACGGGCGTTATGTTAACAGTCAATGGACAATACGTTAGCGCTCACATGATGAATGATATACTATAGCGAATGAATTGTGTCAGATGTTGAGGAAGTGAATGAAACGGCTAAAGAACATGAATCAGAACAATAAGTAAAGAAGTAGGCTGACAGTGTGTGCCTGCGCGCGTGCGTGCGTGCGTGCGTGCGTGTTGTTCAAAGCCTCACTCAGAATCAGTACAGTTTATACTGGACAAAAATATTTAGGGATATATGTCAATTTTGAGATTATGAACAATGATCTATTTATTCATTGACACACTGATAAAATATCAATCATAAAAAAATATATATATATCCCTAACTTATTTTGTCCAGTATATTATGCAGGTCTCTAAGTAATCGCGTATGAACAGACAGTACAGTCATTGATATTATGAACGACTGTACATGTCCTATCATGGGGTTACGTTGACATTAACCAAGTCAATGATCCGTCAACCCGACTCATGAGACAAATAAGGTTGTATGTACTGTATATGGGACTTTGTAGCAGAAAACCCTCACTTACCACTGTTAACTATTTGACAACACTAAACACTATACAACAGCATTTATATGCTTTGACCGTAATACATACTGTGACTTAAGTCTACTAGTAGCTCATAACATCGACCATTTGTTTGCCTAACCCAGATTCGATCATTTCGAGGCGTTTCGTGATGCATCAGTGACAAAAATGATGACCGATGCAATTCCCTATTTTGACTTGTACCATACGTTTCTGAATTATTTCAGGTGAACAATTGACTACACTTAGCATATGTTTATGACGGATGCCACCGGTGGAGCAGGATACGCTCACCTTTTCGCGAACACCTGGTATCATCACTATTTCATAGTGATTCATAAACACATGCTCTGTCATCGTATCACATGGTGACAATCACTGGATTGTCTGGTCCAGACTCGATTTGCTTACAAACAACATCGTAAAATATATGCTAATGATATTGTCACAATTGTAAAATCAACTTTGCTTTTTGCAGAGATTTATTATGAATGTGGAAAGGGTTTTGTCGCTTTTATCTTAATAAAACCACATGTCCCTCCCGCATGTTGGGGCGGCAGAGAATTGTCTTACGAATGCTTCAAATGTGTATCTTCTGACGTTGATGTTGTTTTGTTTTGTTTCAGGGCACTTTATAAAATCAAACATAAGTCATGGGATAATTCCAAGAACTGTTCAAAATCAATAGGACTTGTACCACGACAAGTGAAAATGTGCAAAGAAAATTTGGATTTAATGGAAACTGTGGCGCTTGCAACGTCAGTGTCTGTGGAAACGTGTCAAAGTCAGTTTGCCGATCGACGGTGGAATTGTTCGTCAATACAAAACGTACCAAGCATGTCCAGAGATTTGGTCAGAGGTAAGTTTTGTTTATAGTGTCTGAGGATTTGGTTTATTTAATAATTTGTTTTGACTTATTTGCATTTCATAACGACTTCTGAAACAATAGTCTCACTTCAAATGGACCCTTGAACAGGTCAGAGTTGGTCTTCAGCAACCCATGCTTGTCGTAAGAGGCGACTAACGGGATCGGGTGGTCAGACTCGCTGACTTGGTTGACACATGTCATCGGTTCCTAATTTCTTAGATGTCATAATGTCAGTCACTGGATTGTCTGGTCCAGACTCGATTATTTACAGACCGTAGATATACAGCTGCAATATTGCTGAGTGCGGCGTGACACAACAAACAAACACTTCAAATGGAAAAGGTGAACGTAGCCTAGTGGATAAAGCGCTGGCCTACCATACAAAGAGTCCGAGTTTTATTCCCATTATTGATACACTATGGGGCATATTTGGGACCTTTTATTGTATAGTTTCCACACGGGGACCGTTCATTTCCTGTTATACAAGACCGAGCGTCTATATTCTAAACATCCAGTTTGGTTTGGTTACATGTGTCAATTTTGTCTTGCGTGTACGTTTTGTACATAACTTTGCTGAAGACCTTTTATATAATTGTATATGGATATTTACTCAAGCAATGCTTCGTCACTTTCAACATATATGTAAGGAACGGAATAGAGGTTCTATCAGTTCCGCCAGGGTTTGTCCGGGTCATTTGCAAGGTGCCCCGCCCTTCTTTGACATGTACATCAAGATGGCGGACGGACAATGACACGATGTCAATGGTGACAGCCCTGTGTCACATGACCTACTACAAACGGGTCACGTGACATGTCGATGAATCAGTGACACCCTACCGACAGGGAATAACGTGCAAGGTTATCAATTATCTTTGTACATCGGACGTCAACGTCGATGATGACACTTGACACGTCACCTCGGGTATGATCATGTGACGTAAACAGCATGTCATGTGGTCATGCTTGTAAACAAAGCCTCGTGGACATGTCGTAGACGGGAGAACGACATGGCGCCGTTGAGCACGTCCGTGCGTCCATAGTATTTGTCTTAACCTGAGGCTAAGGAGTTCATGAACGTCAGAAGTGTTGATTGTCGTGTCAGATTGGTCGCTGACGTTCAAGAATGCAATCCACGTGTTTCAATCTTAGGTTAGATGTCATACAATTTATACTTGTGTATAATAACTAATCAGAGGTACAGATAAGCTGCGTATCTGCGTAAATTACGCAAATATGTACGTGAAAATTCAGTTCTTATTAAGTCTATTCCGAACAAGTACGCTTGAGTTTTGTAAATACTCAATATATTTGATCTTACATGCGTACACACAAAAATGTCAAATCTTTGCTTGCGTACCGATAGATAGATAAAATAACTGAGGTACAACTTGACAACTTGCAGTCTTTTTATAGTTTCTCATATTACAGATCCAATATAAATAACATTTAAACTGTATTATAATTTTACAATTAATGGAAAATGACAAAACACCCAACTGAGTTTGAGTGAAGTGGGTATAATTTATTTGGTTAATTAAAGAAAAAAAAAACAATTGAGATGACCACAAGCGAGTACGTAACTCAATGACCCAAAAAGTTATCTGTAGCTCTAAACTTATAATGCTGCATTTGCGAATTACTGAAACTAATATTTATTCGGGTTGTGTCTGAATTTCTCTAAACATATTTCAAACATATATCATTTTATAAGATTTCTTCAGGTGTAAAGGCAATAAATATATAAAAGATAGTCGTGCTTGTCAAAACTTGTTTATGTGCACAAAATCCTTTGCTGCTCAATGGTTCTTCAGGCGAAATGAAAACCGAGCGTAGTCATAGCGACGCATAACGCTAGAATTTATATCGTCATCATGCGTATGACGTAACAGTTCGTGACAATGGTGTGTGTATGTGCTTGTACATTTGTGTGCATGTGTTTATTTATATTTGTCGAAATTAGAGCTTCAAAATGATTAGGTTCCGTGAGGCTCATTCACGTACGCGTGACTTAAGAGTTTTAAATTTCCGACAGGTTTCCAGGACCTGCCACGATAACCTGTTGATAGTTTTACGGTAGCATGTACCGGAATGAGTGATGAGAGCACAGGTTTATGATTAACGAGCTCGGAGCACGTGCATGTTTCGAGCATGCGTACATGGCTCGTCAATCACGCATGTTCCGCAACAACTGTGATTGTTTGAAGCTTGAACGTTCTCAGGCTTTCATTGACCCGAGAGGCTGAACTTTAACGACCCGATAGTGTCCGCGAATTGTGAATATTTGAAGTTAATCCATTTCTATCAAATTAAGGGACCGTTCATAATTTTTGGCTAGGGGGGTAATGATGATTTTAGGGGTGGTGCTGTCACCATTTTGTTGGGGGTGGGGGTCAGCAATTTTGTACACAATAATATTTAAGTATTATGCTTAAAAATATGGGAAGGAGGGGGGGTCATTTTGTACATGACTTGCAATGGGGGTCACTGACTTTGTACATAAAATGGGGGCACTCACATTCTACATGCTTTTCCATAAAAATCATCATCACACACACACACACCCTTGCCGTAAATTATGAACGGTCCCTAATGCAGTTGTTCCTGTCCGCGAGTATCAACTCATAGACTCTTAGGTAATAATTATTAGGTAAAAATATATAAATAAAAGACTGGAGGACTGCATGTCCACTTATCTAGACTTGCCTCTTTGAAGGATAGAATTACTATACATGCATGGGCTTAGCACTCAGTACAGCCTTGGAGCAAGTCTAAGTCTGCAGATAGGGGCGGTGGGATAGCCCAGTGGAAAAAGCGTTTGCTCGTCACGCCGAAGACCCGGGTTCGATTCCTGCATGGGTACAATTTGTGAAGCCCATTTCTGGTGTCCCCGCCGTGACATTGCTGGAATATTGCTAAAAGCGGCGTAAAACCATACTCACTCATGCATGACTGCTTGGACATACGTCATGGTAAGATAACCAAGTGGTTGATGTCATGAAGAACGTCCAAGGATGTTGGGGCACCATGACATTTTGTTGAAAGACTAACGCCACACAGCATGACAGTTAAATGACGGTGGTTTGTAAATAAATGCGGCGTAAAACCATACTCACTCATTATACAGATAACTAGTATATTTTTATAACGTATAAACTGACGTATAAAAGAAAGTGCACACCTATTTTGGGGAGATTTTTTCAAAAGTATTGTGATTTTGACTGGCAACTTCGCAATTGGGCACGATATCCCTGGTGTTTTGGCAACATATTAGGAAAGTTCTTTTCGAAACGTTTACGTCGATTTTTGGAAGTAATCCAAAAGCACCGGGTGTGTACTTTCTTTTGTACGTCAGTTTAGAACGTAAATTGTATACTGAAAACGAAAGTATACAACGTTGTCTGATCATGAAAATTAATCATACGATGGTGTTGTATTTGATAGCTGTACCATATAATATGTTGGACATGTACGTGTTCACTTTCGGCAACAGTATTCTGACTATCACATTTATAACGTTTCTGATTTTTGTCGATTCTAATTTTCAAGTTTATTATTGTACTTGTTTGACTGATATACGTTGAGAAATCAGGGAAGGTTGATGAATACGGTTTCATGCCCAGTTTTCGCTCAATATGGTATTATCGTCTTAGGTTAAATTCAGTGTCGCAGCACAGCCTGTCTCGGTATATAGTGAGGGAAACAAATAAGGAAACACATGAAAGCACAAGTATTCCTATATTCTTGTTAGGTTTCTTCGCAAGCAGTGTGAGTGAAAGAACTATAACTAAATAAAGGAAGACTTCGATTAAGTGGTGTTCCCTCTTTCGCTTCCCTCGGTATATTTTTTTCATCATAGGCTGCAACAAAGTCCACGAAGGAGCAATGCAATATGACACTTGTCAATTTGAAGCTTTACGCGTCTTTACGGTGTAAATTTTAACTGTGTCTACTTTATTTAGACGTTGTAGACACCGTTACTGGCGTTGTAAACACCATAACTGCAGCACCGTTACTGACGTTGCAGACACCGTTACTGACGTTGCAGACACCGTTACTGACGTTGAAGACTCGCAGCTTTTACTGACGTTGCATGCACCTTTACGGACGTTGTAGACGCCGCTACTGACGTTGCAGACACCGTTACTGACGTTGTAGACGCCGTTACTGACGTTGCAGACACCGTTACTGACGTTGTAGACGCCGTTACTGACGTTGCAGACACCGTTACTGACGTTGAAGACTCGCAGCTTTTACTGACGTTGCATGCACCTTTACGGACGTTGTAGACGCCGCTACTGACTGACGTTGCAGACGCCGCTACTGACGTTGCAGACACCGTTACTGACGTTGAAGACTCGCAGCTTTTACTGACGTTGCATGCACCGTTACGGACGTTGTAGACTCCGCTACTGACGTTGAAGAATCCGTTACTGACGGTGAAGATACCGTTACTGAAGCGCGGTAAAAACGTAATGTGCAATGTGAAAACGGCAATGCCAGAGAACAACCAGTCTTGATTATCCGCCAAGACAGATTCCAGAAGATATCGTGTTCCCAATTTTGTGAATGGATCACTGAAGTCGGATATGATATTACGAGGTGTTCACGGACAGGGGTGAAAAGGTGAGGTGAAATTGGGTTTAACGTCGTGCTTGAGAATATTTCGCTCATATGACGACGTGCATGCGTGTGTATGTGTATGTGCGGCTGCTTGTACTAGCCCAGACTGAAGCTGGTTTTATAGTGCTAGCCCACTGAGATACCACGCCGCAGTGAAGCATGAATACCCCACTCAGACACATTCTACTGACTCCGAGCCGACCAGTCCTTGTTGTACCCATTAATGCCGAACGCCAGGCAGGGACCAACAAGTACCATATTTTAACGTCTTTTGGTATGACGCGGTCGGGGATCGAACCCGCAACCTTCCGCTCTCCGGGCGGACGCTCTAACCACTACACCACAGAGGCGGTCTCACGGACAGGGTAAGC